AAAAAAAAAAAAAAAAAAGCCTGGGAAAGTCTCTGGCAGTTAGTGCCTCCCCTACTTGTTTTCAAACCCATGAAATTAGAGGGGCTGGGCCTCAAAACCCTGAGGACCTTTTCAGTTGGTTCATTCATCCGTCCATCCCTCATTTAGGGAGGTCCCTAAGTGTTTGCTGGACAGACATGGAGCCCAGGTCAGTGGGAGATGCAGCCCTTGCTGATGGGTTGACATAAAGGCAGCCATAGATGCAAGGGGGACCACCAAGTTCTGCCATCCCTGTGTAGTATTTGCCATCCACCTAATGGATTACCTCATTGACTCCTGAGGACACTGTGCATGTGCCCATTTTGCAGGTGAGGTTTTAAGAGAGGCTGAGTAGCTTATAGTCACCCAGACCGTGGACCTGGGGGCCATGGCCAGGGCCAGTAATGGAGCGCCAAGATCACAGTGTGAGGCCCCAGGAGACACAGAAGTGGGCCTGAGGATTTCATGTCAGGAACTCAGTAGGATTAGTGCTGGGTTGCCAGCCAGGGCCCTTGAAAGGCCCCCAGGTTGGGGTTGCCAGGAAATCGGGACCATGGCCAAGACTCCATGGGTGCCCTGTCAGTCCCTGGCTTCCTTGACCACAGCGGGCACAGCTGGCCGTGCAGACGAAGCGAGTGGCTGCACAGGTGGATGGCGGGGCACAGGTGCAACAGGTGCTCAATATTGAGTGTCTGAGGGACTTCCTGACGCCTCCACTGCTGTCTCTGCGCTTCCGGTGAGTGGGTGGGGCAGTGCAGTTGGGCAGGGCTTCTAGGATGAGGGGCGGGGCCTCAGCTCTTCTGCCTCCCTGCTAGGTACGGGGGTGCTCCCCAATCCCTCACCCTGAAGCTCCCAGTGACCATCAACAAGTTCTTCCAGCCCACGGAGATGGCAGCCCAGGACTTCTTCCAGCGTTGGAAGCAGCTGAGCCTGTGAGGAGCGGGGATGGGGACACAGGGCCACCATTAGGCCTGAGGAAGCAGGGATGGGGACTCCAGGGGTCTTCCCTGACTTTCACCTTTCTGCCCCCAGCCCTCTGCAGGAGGCACAAAAAATCTTCAAAGCCAACCACCCCATGGATGCAGAAGTCACCAAGGCCAAGGTGAGAGGCAGGAAGTGCTCACAGGCCCTGGCTGCCTAACTTCTTAGTCTTTGTTTTCCCAAATGTAAAGTGGGGTGGAGGTATGGGGCGCTGGGATGCTCCCTGGAGGTGACAGGACCAGGTACTCGAGCAACCGCGTCCCTTCCAGCTCTTGGGGTTTGGTTCTGCTCTCCTGGACAACGTGGACCCCAACCCTGAGAACTTTGTGGGGGCTGGAATCATCCAGACGAAAGCCCTGCAAGTGGGCTGTCTGCTCCGGCTGGAGCCCAACGCCCAGGCTCAGGTGAGTGTTGCCAAAGGGGATGTGCTGAGGGCCCTGGACAGCTGTCATGGTACACCCTTCCTCACTCTGTCTCTCTGCCCTGTGTCCTTTTTACCTCTCTTCCTTTACTTCCTGCCTTACACCCCACTTCTGCTGTCCACCTCTTTCCCTGTCTCCCCCCTCTGTGGGCCCTCCCTCCTCCCATGGCTGCCTTGTGCTGAGTCCTGCCCATCCCCTACAGATGTACCGGCTGACCCTGCGCACCAGCAAGGAACCTGTCTCCCGTCACCTGTGTGAGCTGCTTGCCCAGCAGTTCTGAGCCCTGGACCCTGTCCCAGGGATGTGGCTGGCACCAGGCAGCTTCTAAGACTGAGGCAGCTTTGGTGGATGAGGCAGCGAGGGGACCACCACTGGTGACAAGGAAGACGCCAGGGGTGGGGGATGCCTGGGACCTTCCTCCAGCCTTTTGTATTTTTATTTTTGTTCATCTGCTGCTGTTTACATTCTGGGGGGTAAGGGGGAGCCCCCTTCCTCCCTGTCACCCCCGAGCACAGAGGGGAGTGGGGCCAGGGAAGTGGGTGCCTCCTCCCCTCCCCCACCTCGTTGTAGCCCCTCGTGCCCCCTCCCCATCCAGGGGCTGTGTATTATTGTGAGCGAATAAACAGAGAGACGCTAATGCCCTGCATCTGCAGCTGGCTTCTCGGGGGTAGTCACAGGAATGGGATGAGAGCATGCAGTGTGTGGGTGGCCAGGGCTCGAAGCCCATGGGTGGGGCTCTGTGGAGACAGCAGCAGCAGCAGCTGCCGAGGCCCCAGCTGCAGGGCCACTACTTGCCACCCGATGCCTGGGCCCAACACGAGGTAGCAAGCTCTTGGCAGCTGGGCTCGGTGGCCTGCATCCTCCACCTTCTCCAGGTGCCCTGGCTCTAAGAAAAGGGGGGAAAAAAAAGATTTAGGATGCTACTTGCTGGAAGCCGCACCCCATTCTCAATTATGGGGTCTCTGCACAGGCTTTAGGGCCTTCAGACTTTCAACCTTTGCTCATCCAGTGTAGTCCTTGCTTTTCCTGGTCCCTTTTCCCCCGTGTAAGGCCCAGTTCATCCCCTGAAGATTGCACCATGCAGGTGACACTAGGTGCCAGACCCTAGGATGTACCATGGGAGCTGGAGTGATGCCACAGAGGGTGACCACCTCCCCACCCCCATCCCCACTTGGGCAAGGGTCCCACAGCTCAGGAGAGGTGTGGCCGGCACCAGTGTGCTGTGCTCTTGATGCCTTTCTCATCCTTTCCTTTGGGGCCTTGTGGGTTCTACAACCCTTCCTCCCTCGAATCAAGTCTGTAGATCCAGGCTCCGCTCCCCAGCCTCCAGGTAAGCTTTGGAGTAGGGGGCAGTAGCTGTGTGAACCAGGAGCACTGGGGTCTGAATCCTGGTTCTGCCTTTCACCATGGAGACTCTCCTGCTGTGTGGGGTGGGAGTGGCATCGTGACAGCAGCATCCTCAGCGGGACAAGGAATGAGCCCTTAGGTGTAAAAGCCCGGGCCAGAGAAGAGGCTTCTGTGTTTACGATTACTGCTAGGATTACACTGGAAGTTCCAAAGTGGGACCAGGTCCTAGCCTGCCTGCCTGTGACAATTCTCAGTGCTCCTGGCTTTGCTGGGTGCTCCTGCCAGTTTCTCCAACCCCAGCTCTTGCTCCCACCTTGTGCAAGTGGGACTCAAGTGTTGGTATGTGAGTGAGGCACAGTGCCTGGTACTACCTTGTGGGAAGTGTGTGGTGGTGACCAGAGTATAGAAGTTTCGGAGGAGGCGACGGCGCTGTTCTGGGGAAGGCTCTGCAGGGAGAAGACTGGGTCCAGGAAGGCCCCTGGCCTACAGCCCTCCCGCCCAGCCTGCCCATGTCCTCAGTCACCTTTATCCCCCAAGGGCTGCACGGTGAAAAGGCAGCGTTTTAGTTCCAGGTTCAGGAGCAGCAGCCTGTGGAACAGTGTGTCAGGGACCGGATAGAACATTGAAGACTGCCAACCCACTCCTCACCCAAGCCCTACCCGAGGATGTCTGTGTGCAGGGGGAATCCGTCGGGCAGCGCTTGGGGCCCCAGCGTCAGGCAGGCCCGCAGTGGTTCCAGAAGGGGTTGCCACCAGCGCTCCAGCAGCTGTGGGCGTAGCCAATGGGGCGTGGCCATTGAGAGGCGGGGCTACTGGTTCAGCGATGGAAAGGCAGGGACAGGTAGGGGGCGGGGCTACAGGAGGGAAGCTGCGTATTGGGGGAGCGGGCGAGCTGGCACGAAGGCAATTGGAGCGCACTCCAAGGGGCGGGGCCTGTGGAAAAGGGATGGGGGGACTCGCTCCTAAGCCTGGGTGGTGACAGGCTGGAGCGCCTAAGGAGGAAGTGTCGTGTGGCGTGAAGTGGACCCGCTGTATGCATTCACCTGTGGATCTAGCTGGCTGAGGGGCGGACGTGGCCCGCAGAGCAGACACAGCTCCAGGCCAGGCAGCAGCGTCAGGGTCAGGAGCCTGTGGGGGACCTGAAGCAAGGCGCTGGGTGGGGCCGACCGTGGCTCTGCCCCTTCCCTTCAGGACTCACTTGGACCCACGCCTTTCCCGGCCGTGCCCCGCAAGCCCCACCCACTCACCGTGGGGCTCCCGTGCGGTAGGTACACCGGGTAGTCTCGTGCAGCCTGAGGTGGAAGGGACCCCACCAGCCACGGGAGCAGCACGGCCTCGGGCATCCCTAGCCGCCACCAGCCTTCAGTGGCTGCCACCACTCGGCCAGACACCACCAGACTGACGAAGGCTGTTCCTGTGGCCTCAGCGAACCCAGAGAGAGCTTCCTGGGAAGGCAGGCGGATGGGGAGTCAGAAGACAAGAACAGTGTGACAGTGACTCCCAGGTGGGTCAGGAGGAGGAGGAGGAGATAAGCGGTCAGACCAGAGGTGAATGAGCGGCCAGAGTCATGTGTCACACCTCTCAGCCTGAAACCACCAGCCTGACCTGCACACTGTGAAGACAGTAACAGCAACAGCAGCAGCGATGGCTTGCTGCAAGGAAGGGCGCTGTGCCAAATGGGCAGCTCAGGGAGGTCAAGTCCCTCATGGGCAGTCACACTGCTGGGAAGGCCCGTCCACATGAAGGGACAAGAGCAGTGCTGAGGTCGATAGGGATTTCTCAGGCAAAGGAGAAGCATGCTCCAAGGTTGGCAAGCTGGAAAACCCTTGGGCTCTGTAAGGCCCACGGGGCTGGCGGGCGGGTGGTCTACGGGGTTGGAGGCTTGTCCTGAGGGAGGAGGGGATCACAAGATCAAGCAAGGGAGAAGGGCAGGCCTAGTATGGGGTGGGGGAGGCCTCTTCTAGGACTAAGGAGAGATCAGAGTGGATACCAAGGGTACAGGTGGTTGGAACAGTGGTCAGGAGAAAAGGAGGAGATCTGAGCCCGAGTCAGGCGTGCAGTACCTGCAGGAGTGAGCCTTCTGGAGGAATCACGCAGTCCACACACTGGGTCAGGTCCCCAATGAGCTCCGGGTCCCCCAGGAAGCTGTCAATGAGGCAATAACTGGCCTGGCAGAGGGAGAGAGGAGAAGCCTAGGACCCAGAAGGACCCCACATCTGCTGCCTCTTTCAGCAAGAGCTGGCAATGCTGGACCTCCAGAGTCAGGCAAGCAGGCTGTGCCCCAGGGAATTATGGAATCATGCTCTTCCTGGAGGTGTTGGTCATTGCAATGCCCAAGTGGCAGTACCTCAGTACCCCAATTTCCCATCCCAGGGTCCTGCAGCCTCACCCTCAACTCTTTCTTCAGTCTCTCTATGTTTCGGATATTCGTCAGTTCTTCAAGTCCTACAAGAAGAACCTGAAAGAACCACATAGGACAGTTAGGGCTCGTGACAGCTGGTTCTAACACAGCAGGGATGGAACCTACGCTGGGCCTCAGGGAGGAGGGGTGCTTTGGCTGACGATAAGGATTCCTGAGTGGTAAGGGAGATTGATAAGAAAGCTCAGATCAATGAATGGGTTTGGTAGAAAAGAGTCCCCGGGGATCTCACCATGGCTCCAAACACCATCTGGAGCAGTCGTTCCAGCCTCAGCTCCGAGGTGCCCTCTTCTGATGACAGAACAATGAGGGTGATGCTGCGGAACAGAAGGGGAAAAGGATGAGTCCAGGTGTGGGGAGAAGGGCAGGGGGTAAAGCCGAATCTGCCCTTTTAGCCGAGAGTCTAAGCTGTGTCTCCTAGTCCAGCCTGCCTCTCCTATAAAGGAAATTAGGGGTCAGTAAGGTCGGTCTCTAATCGAAGATCCCACAGGCAAACAGCTGGAAGCCATCTTCAACAGGAGTTATCACCCAGACTCTGTCCCTCCCCCAAGTTCCCACTAGGGACCTGTCATGGAAGCTTTTCCACACCACGGTCGTGTCCTCCGTCCTCGCAGAGCTCAGCTGCACGTCCAGATTCTGGCCAAACATGTGGACCCCATTGAGGGAGCCGATGACAGAGAAGGGTAGCTGGAGAGGAGTTGAGGGCATGAGACAGGGGCACCCTGTTACCTCCCCCTTGAGATCCAACTGTCAGGGCTCCCAGCCCTTCTGCATATCCCCTGGAGGTTCCCTGCGAGGAACCAGCGGACACAGCGAGGTGTGTGTCCCACGGACCTCGGAAGTTAAAGCAGAAACCTCCCTGCCCCAACTCCCGTACAGACCCGGCGTGTAAACTCTCTAGCCCCTTTCTATTTAGATCCAGGCGTCTAAGCCCCACCTGCTGACGGGCCGGGGCACCGCCACGGCTGCTCCTGCAGAATAGGGGCACCCCGCTGGAGGCCGCGAGGCACAGCAGATGCACGGTGCCCCCTGTCCCCTCCTCTCCCATTTGGACTCCCCCGCCCACGCAATCTTCCTCCAGCACTATCAGTGCCGGGCTGGGAGCTGGCCGGCAATCATATCACAGTGAGTCGGCCTGCCTTCCAGAGCCGCTAATTAGAAGGGGACTAAATTCCCGCCTGCTTCATCAGACTCAAACATGCTCAAACCCCGTTTGGTTCACTTCCGCCCCAACCGGAAGTCACTATACCTCTAACAAAGATGGCGAGTAATCATTCATGCTAGGCTTTATAGTTTCTTTCTGACGTGGTTTGGCTTTATTTAATGACGAGAATAAAGACGAGATTGAAGTCTGAAGACTAGATTGCTAGTCTCACGGCATTGTCTAGTAACCATCATGTATAAATTATTTACATTGTAGATGAAAACACTGTGCCCCAATCAAAGATGGCGACCGTGCCAAGGCGTTGCCTAGCAACCACATTTGGTCCGATTTCTACTTTACACTGGTAAACAGGCACCCCAAAGATGGCAGGGTAAGGCGTTACTTAGCAACCACCGTTCACTTATACTTCCATTCTGAAAATACAGCCGGTTGTTCCCTGCTCAAATACGGATACAGTACAAATCTGACTGTTCTTACCACCTCTCCCCTCAAGTTAGACAGTGGTTTGTTCCGGGGAGCGTTGCCTAGTAACTACCAAATAAGACTGTTTTTGTTAGACAAAGGGAAAAAAATCCTTTATT